TTATTCCTCTTCTCCTCCTCCTCCTCCTCCTCCTCCTCCTCCTCCTCCTCCTGGTCCTCCTCCTCCTCCCCCCCCTCCTCATGTTCCTCCTCTCTTTTCTCATCCCCCCTCCTCCTCCATCTCCCCCTCCTCCTCCTTCTCCGCCTCGTTCTCCCTCTCCTCCGCGCTCGCTCCCCTCGCCCACCCGCCCGTTCCGCGGCTCCCCGGCCCCTCCCCGTAGGAGTGGCCTCGCCCACCCCCGCCCGGCACGGCCCGCTGTCGCTGAGGGGGGGTGAAGGTCGCATAAGGTCGCAGCTTTTTCCCCCGTGGGCGATGGAGTTCCCTGGTGGTGTGGTGGTGCTGGCGCTGGGTGGGGCCGGGGGTCTTGCCCTCAGTTGGGTCATCGATATGCGTCCTGGACCGCAGCCCCTTCTGCCCGTGCCGCTGCCTGGTGTGCTTGCACGACGTCCTGCGCAGTGTTGTCCACATCCTCCTCGGGCGAAAGCCGGCGGAAGGTCAAATGAAAGTAGGGCGGCCCGTGAGTAGTGTCCCCTTGCTCCTTTTGCTCACGTCATGTCGCCGTAGCCATTGTGGCTGAAGTCATGTGGGCTCAACGAGCATCGTCATCATCATCATCATCATCATCATCATCATCATCATCATCATCATCATTATTATTATTATCATCATCATCATCAGCATTATCATCATCATCATCAACAATACAGCATCATCATCATCATCATCATCATCTTCATCATCGTCATCGTCATCGTCATCGTCATCATCATCATCATCATCATCATCATCATCATCATCATCATCATCATTACAATCATTACAATCATTACAATCATCATCATCATCATCATCATCATCATCATCATCATCACCGTCAGCATCAGCATCAGCATCAGCATCAGCATCATCCTTCTACTCATCATCATCATCATCATCATCATCATCTTCATTCATCATCATTTCTCATCTCATCGTCAGCATCTCTTCGTCATCTCATCGTCACTATCATCTTCGTCATCGTCATCGTCATCATCGTCATCGTCATCATCATCATCATCATCATCATCATCATCATCGTCATCGTCATCGTCATCGTCATCATCATCATCATCATCATCATCATCATTATTATTATCATCATCATCATCAGCATTATCATCATCATCATCAACAATACAGCATCATCATCATCATCATCTTCATCATCGTCATCGTCATCGTCATCATCATCATCATCATCATCATTACAATCATTACAATCATTACAATCATCATCATCATCATCATCATCATCACCGTCAGCATCAGCATCAGCATCAGCATCAGCATCATCCTTCTACTCATCATCATCATCATCATCATCATCATCATCGTCATCATCATCATCGTCATCATCATCGTCATCATCATCATCGTCATCGTCATCGTCATCATCATCATCATCATCATCGTCATCGTCATCGTCATCATCATCATCATCATCATCATCATCATCATCATCATCATCATCATCATCATCATCATCATCATCATCATCGGTGAAAGTGGAGCGGCTCTTGGTGCCCCATGTGCTTCCTCTGCTCAGCAGGCGAACTGCGGGAGCCCTGCCCCTGCGGGACGCCCCGGGGGCGGATGGGCCATGCCGGCTGCCGCCCCTGCCCGCCCCGCGGGCCTGAGGCAACGCTGCGCCCACCTCGCCGCGGGGCGTGCTGGTGGCGGGTGGACCATGTCGGCCGCGGCCCCCCCCCGTCCCCGCGGGCAGGTGCACCACGACGGCGAGAAGCGAGGAGGGGAAGCCAAGGCTCTCTCCGGCGCCACGGCGGGGTGCGCTCCAACAGATTCTGGGGCGGCGGTCGACGCGGGTGCCCGGGCCGGTTCGGGGCGGCGCCGGAAGCCTTCGCAGTCGCGCTTGTTCCCCAGGGACGCATTGGCAACCCCGCTAAGCCATGATCGACGGATGGCAGTTGTGTGTGTTGCGCTCTGTCCATCGTGAAGCGGGATCACCCCATCATCGTCATCCTCCGCCTCCTCTTCTCCTCCTCTGCCTCCTCTTCCTCCTCCTCCTCGTCATCATCAGCAGCCTCGTCAGCAGCAGCATCATCCCCATCACCATCACCATCATCACCACCAACACGATCATCACTGTAGTCATCACCGTCCTGTCTCTCATCCTCCTGCCCCCCTCCCCTCCCATCCTCTTGCTCCTTCCATTCGAGCTGTCAATATACCGCAGGAGCCCGACCCAGAGCCCACTCCCCCCTCCCCCGCCCCCCCCTCCCTTGATGCTGGATCGGAAGCGGAGGCGCCTGTTTGGTCTCCCGCTGCTGCCTCTCGCACAAGGATCGCCCGGGGCTGCAGGGGATGGATCCGCCTCCTCCTCCGCTTTCCTCCCTCCTCAGTCGTCCTCCCTCCCTCCCTCCTCCTCATCCGCCTTCTCCTCCTCCTCCTCAAACAAAACCCTCCCCGGGTCAAGCTTGTCATCCTCCTCTCCTCCTCCTCC